TTATTCAGAATATGACACCAAGGGGTAAAAAAAAACATAGCTACTCTAGAAATTACATATCGCATCAGTTTATTTGAAAAAAATCTAAATGCTTATTTCTTACTGGATTTTTGGACTTCCGTTTCAAATCCAAAAACTCTCAAAAAGACGGTTAGGTCTCTAAAAATCCCATGACTTCGGGTATACAATTCATCCAATGCTTAGTATGGAAAATCAAACCCCTTTAAGAGTCAATTCCAGAATCAGATCAAAAGGAAAAAGCAAAAATTTATTCTTTCCTAGTTAGAAGACTATTTTTAACGAGAACGCTACTTTCTTGTTCCGACTGAACAGATATTCGTGGAGGTAATAATATTCTGACTAACATGAAAAGAACAAAAAAGGGCTCCGATGACTTTACCGCTTTGAGCGTCTTTCTGCTGTCTATCCGCTCGTGTTTTGAGGGTCGATCGCACCGTTCTCATTTGTGTTATTTGGATTCTTCAGAATCGTCAAAACCTGCGCGACGATATCGTCTTGCGCGGGATTTTTTTTATACGCCGAAGCGAGCATGATGGCCTTTTCAAAAAGCTGCACGACATTTGTCCCATGCGCCGCCGAGACGTACTCCAGTGGAAAGTCATGCTTCGCGGGAAAAGCAAAGCGCGTCGAGACGACCTCAGGGTCGGTGTCGATTTTATTACAGGCGACGATGCACGGGATACGAAAGCGGTAGTTTTGCAGCTCCTTTAGCCACTTTTCTAAGTTTTTATAGGTCGCCTTTCGGGTGACGTCGAAGACGAGAATGCAGGCGTGGGCCTCGTGGTAGTAAGCTGGGTGCATCGTGGCGAAGCGCTCCTGCCCGGCGGTATCCCAAATATCCACATCGTAGTCCACCCCATCCGCCGTCGCGAAGTCGTAGCGGTAGAGCGTCAACGCGTAGGTTGACATCTGCACCGGGACATAGCGCTTCATCAAAAAGCGCTCGACGAGTTTGGACTTGCCGACGGCGCTATCGCCGAGGAGGATGAGCTTAATAGGGTCCCGCGCCTCATCAGGTTTGTTGTCGAAGGCCTTCGCAGGTGTGAGGTTGGACGCCGGGATGGAGGAGGACGAGCTCATGGATTCCGCTTTTCCGCTCGTGCTCACTAATAAAAAGGAAAAAAAAAGAGGGAAAAAATTAATGGTAAGTAAGTGTGGTTAAAACTGCCTTAAAGATATATAGTTAGTTGTGTGGGGAAGGGGGGAGGAGGGTGTACAGCAAGAACCTTAAGATTATGTAATGCTATATATTTTTATAGATATATAGATATTTTCACTTGAAGTGACTAACCAAAAAGTTTTAATAACTGTTTGTTGAAGCTAAAATAAAATATTAAAGGTAATGAAGAAGTGATGATAATAAGAAAAGGAAAGAGTCAAACGCCATCTCCTCACATCCTCCCAACCCTTGATATGAAGGGGTAAGTAAGAAATCCACCAAAATGTAATCCTTGAATCAATTTCTATCCAGAGAATAACGTAAGGTTGTGATCATTACTTTCAGTGTTTGTCATCCATCGTAAAGACCGAATAGAGCACCCCACGGTTTCTTTCCTTTTTACGTGACTTAATCAATTGTTGACTAGTTCATTTGACGACCAAAAACCATGCCACAGGCACTCATAAAGGTTGTGAAGAACCAAAAAGTATGCACAATCATATATAAAAATAATCAAAAAATAAAAGAAAAATAGTATAGTGAATCCAACATTCATATGGAAAAAAACAAAGGTGACGCTAGTAATTAATAAAAATCATCCTGCTATAATCGAAAATTTTTGTATGCACCGTTGTAAACACAGAATCTAAGGATCCCCCACGGAAGTCGTGAAACATATGTTATTGTAACCTTTCTTCCTTCTTGTTCCTTTGAAACAAGTTTGTTTATAGTCCTTTCATATCAAACTTCATCGGTGGCGCCAATTTTGGCATTGGGGCATTTCGCTCATTGACGCTCTTGCGTAAATTCTCAAACTCCTGTTTCTTGTGTGTGTTCTCCATCCCCTCATCCTCCACTCGCTTGCGCATCGTGGGCAAGTCCTTTTCCACCACCGCCGCTTCAGTCGTAATCATCATCCCTGCCACCGAGCACGCATTCACTACGGCAGACTTCACCACTTTCATCGGATCGATAATGCCGGCTTCGAACATGTTAACGTACTCCCCGGTCTGCGCGTTATAGCCGAAGCTCGGATCCTTCCGTGCGAGAATCTTCCCAGCAACGACGCTGCCCTCCACGCCGGCGTTATTCGCAATGCATCTTGTCGGCAACCCGATTGCCCGTTTTACGATGTTGACACCCGTTCGAATATCCGACGGCAGACGACGATCCTTCACAAGCTCCTCCAGCCGCAGTGAGGCTATC